TGATATTCATGGGTGGCAGTCTAAGCCCAGTGAACTCACTAGGGAAAGCACCTGGGCCAGCATTCCATTTGTTAACCAACTCACATATGTCCCTATTCTGACAGACGGATCTTGATGGCACTTTGGGTACTTGGTTATCAGTATCAACTGAGCTCCTGTATCCACTAACATTGAAAGATATGAGTATATTCCCTTCTCCAATAATTACTCCAGTAAATCATCATAGATCTCTGTAGGGCAAAAGTAAGAAAATCCTACTTGCTGTAGTGTTGAAGTGTCCTCCTCATAGGGCCGTGACCTCTCATTCAGTTAATGTGTTCTGAGTCTGAGAAGTACTCAAATCTAGACACTTGACAAAAGATCGTGTCTTTCCACTGGAGCAGCTGACCTCAGCCTTCTGCTGACTCATATATGTTCACTTTGGGTTATATACATTAAATAATACTTTTATTGACTACTCATCTATCTTGTTCCTAGGAACAGCATGTTCTAGTAATCATCTCCAAGGAAGATTCCTGTGGGTCAGGCCCCCTTTTTTCCCATTCCAACCTTGCCACCTATTATAATAATTATACCCATCTTGCTTTTGAGAATAAAATGCTACTACCAAGCCTTTGAGAGCCTGGGATCCTGCCCTCCACATTGATAATAAGGAACACACCTCAGTTTTGTAATAGTATATCTTTTTAAAAGAATTTAATTTATTTTATTCATTCAATCACTTAGCTTATAAAGTGAATTTACCCAACATAAATACACTTTACATCAGTCCAGTTGAGGATACTATACATGTTATCATCAACAGATAATAATCCACTTCTGTGTACCGTAATGATTTTGCCTTTCTATTTTTCCCCTTAATTTCTTTCCTCACATTCTTCCCTTTCCCCACCCCTTCCCACACTGTCGCCAGTGTCCATAACCATTTTCCATGCTTATACATTCTTGAAACTTTGAGTTACCACCATAGAATATAGACAGACAGTATATATTAAGTGGAGACATACAATGTCTCTCTTTCATAGCCTGCCTCGCTTCACTCAGCAGTAAATCTTCCATATTTATCTACTTTCTAGTAAATGCCAGGATCTTGTTTTTTATGACTGAGTAGTGTTCCACAGAGCATATGTGCCATACTTTTTCAATCCAATCATCTGTTCATGGATATTTGGGTTGGTTCCATGCCTTAGTAATTGTGAGTAATGCTGCAATAAACAGAGATGTACAAGCACTTTTCTGACTGAACATTCTCCTAGCCTTTGGGTAGATACCCAGGAGTGGAACTGCCAGATCATACGGTGATAATAGTGTATCTTACCAGCCTAAAGAGGATAATCAGTACTTAGCTTCTCAATGATACTGGTACTCTCCTTACTAGTTCATTTCTTACTCTCTTGATAAATGGGGTGTCCTTTACCTCCATGTCCCCAACCTCAACCAGAAACATGGTTAGGGGTGGGTTTTCCAGTCTCATATCTTAAATACATTCTAGCACATTTACCTCTTCAAGCTCTGTATCCCTTCCTCCACAGCCTGCTACAGCAATTCTGGTATTTTTACTTCATTTATTCGGGGCCAACTTTTTACAAGCTTCCACTTAGCTATCCCAGGAACATATTATTCAGTCATCAGAAAAGTCATGATGTATACTTCTTTTTTCTTTTGAGAGGTTTTTGCTATAGGGCGCGTGTGCTCGCCAGACAGACAAGAAAGAGACAGAGAGACAGAAAGCGAGAAATCACCCCCCCGGGGGGATGGCCACGCCACAATCCCTTCTCCTCCATTCTCCTCTCGGGATCTTGGGCACACATGCACACGTGCCTGGCGTGAGTTTAAGCCACTGGGTCCGGGACTCGAACTGCGGTTAACTACGTGGGAGTCCAGCAACATAGCCATTACGCTAACTACTGGTACCGTGATGTATATTTCTGTGTAAAAATGTGCCATAACTTTCCTGATGACCCAAAAGATTCATCTCCTAGGACCCTTACCAGGCTTTTAAATCTTATTTAGTAAGTGCCCCCAAATCAATAAATCTCCCTTATCCAGTTTTATATTCTGCTCTTCAGATCCAACACACCTAGCCATTCTTCATCAGTTGCTAGTGGTACATGTCAGCCAGGTTCTGAAACTCCATTGCTTATATTCATGCTCAAAGATCCAGCACTTTCCACAGAGATAATGCTGAGACTTGACTCTGATTATTGAGAAAGTGGTTGGGAGGAGTAGTATAGGCAGATCTTGAGGAAGGCAGATATTTTCATATAAAACTCCTGTATCCTTTGAGGTTTTAGTATTGTCTATATTGTGGTAGGGTGGAGTGGCCTGGCTTTATCGTCCAAGGAGGCCCAGTGAGTCATTTCTAAGTAACCTGAGAGTGCTGAAGAAAACCTGAGTGCTCAAGTTTGGCATGTGCCAACTCATGTCTCCAGATCCCACTGCTTCCCCGTGAGGCCCAGGCTTTGGCAGAGTAATTTACCTTGGCTGAGAATTCAGCCTTCTCTGAAGTTCTGCAACTCTTACAATTCAGTCTTGTGGCTAATTTTCAGCTTTTCCCGTCCTCCTACCTAAAGGAGATGAGAGTTTCTTTAAACATACCCCCCAAAGAAACCCTCTGATTCTCACATATTGCTTAAAATTAGTGATTGGTTATTCCAAGTCTGTCGTTTTTCTCTCATCAAAGGTATTCAACAGCAGCCACCCATTTCCACACTCCTTATAATTACTGCATCTCCCATCTCTCAGTGCCAGAATTACCATTCAAGTCAATGCCTCTCTTCCTCTTCTATCCTGTCCCAGTTTTTCACTGCTGACAGTTTTGTCACTTGTACCACTGCTGCATGCCAGGCACCCTCAATACATGTCACACACTGGTTTCCTCGCTGCCTTTTGAGTGGTAAATTATCCACCTCCAAAATCGCATCTTAGAGTCTACTTTTAGATAAACTGTCTGGTACCAACTGTCTTGGGTCAGGTGTCCGAGAACCAGAACCTAAGATAGGATTCAGCTGCATGTGATTTATTAAGAAAGTGTTCTCGGGACCAGCAGTTAGCATAATGGCTATGTCACTGGACTCCCACGTAGTCGACTGCGGTTCGCGTCCTGGACCTGGCGGCTTAAACTCATGCCAGGTGCGTGTGCATGCGTGCCCAGGATCCCAAGAGGAGAATGGTGGAGAAGGCATTGCGGCGTGGCCATCCACCCTGGGGGGTGATTTCTCACTTTCTGTCTCTCTGTCTTTCTGGCGAGTGCACACACCCTATAGCAAAAACCTCTCCAAAAAAAAAAAGAAAGTGTTCTTTAGGAAACTCTAAGAGAGTGAAGGAAACAAGATAGAAAAAAAGGAAAGCACAGGGTAAGAGATCATCTTAAGTAGAATAAACCTTGGATTGATCTTCAGAGGAACTCAGAAGCATAAACTCTACGCAAAGCTGTCCCTTAAGACCAGAGTACTAGTCTTCTGCACCTCCACATCAGTCAGTCATTGGCTATGAGCTCTCTCAGGGAGGGAAGGACACAGAAGAGGTACAGAAGGGAAATTCTCTAGAACAAAAGTCAGCTGTGAGCTGTACATACACACACACACACACACACACACACACACTCATGTGCATGTGCATAGCAACTGAGGGCTTGATGCACCAATAAGGTAAAGGGATCTGGGAGGGGCAGTTAGGTGCCTACTGTAATTGTGAGAGGATTCATTTCTTTGTTTGTTTATGTTTTTGCCATTGGGCATGTGTGTTCACCACAGAGGAACACAGAGAAAAAGAATGTAAGAAATCACCACACCACACACACACACACACACACACCCCGGGGGGAGTAGCCACACTGCAATACCTTCTCCTCCAGTGTCCTCTTGGGATTTGGGGCATTACACACATGCCTCCAGGTGATTTTCAAGCCGCTAGATCCGGTACTGAAACCATAGTCAGCGTGTGGGACTCCAGTGTTTTAACGACCATGTCACCTGCTGACCCCCTTTTTAAATGAAAAACATTGTGTATGAATAACTTACATATACCTCTGTCTATTACAACCCAGTCCAGTAGTACAGTTCCTTATTACCTTTCTATCTCCAATGCAAGATTCTAAACTTCTCTGTGGCAGGGTCTCTCTGTTCTATTCATCTTTGCATACCTAACTCAGAGGCTGGCATTTAATTGTAAATACACAAACATTTATCAACTGTAGGGCAGTTTGGGTTAGATCATAGAGCAACTTGAACTTTGGGCATTATTCTGCTGGGACTTAGAAAGAGTTTGGAATGCTTTTTTGGCAGCGGTATGTGCAGAAAGAGAGAAGGGGGAATAGCTAAGAGACGATTGCAGCAGTCAGAAAGTCACGAGAGCCAGAAGCGGAGTGGGGGCTGTGAGTGTGGAGAGGCAGATGCAAAAGTAATTAAAGAGGTTTTATCTACAGGATCCAGATGGTCTCCGGCTGACATCCAGTACAGAGAGGATCAGGGAGTCTAAGCGTATCAGTGTGGTGGGAGTTTTGTTCTTATATGCCCTTAAACAGAGAAAGAACATTTTACTCATGTTTATATGGAAGACCTATCTAGAAAATAAATCCATGTGGGTTTTCTCATTGTCATACATAATTAGGCAAAATCATAAAGTAGACATGGGAATATTTTCCCCCATATTTTGGCCAGAACTCTGCAGTCACATCTGAGCAAACCCAATGTCATCAGTGTGGAATTTGCTCAGTTGATTAGCACGTGGGGTACTTAAAATTAGTGTGGCTTTCCAGTGACACGGCTTTCAACTCAGTCATTCTACACGGTAACATCTGTCCCAAAGCTGCCGTTTCAGCACATTATTCTTAACTGGATTCTGGACCGTGTCCTGGTTGGAATAATTTATTCATGACTCATGAATCATATACACACCAGAAGATACATGTCATAGATTGTTTTGTTTTGTTTTGTTTTTTCTAAACTCTTCCAGGCCTTGACCATAGCTCTCATATTTACATTCCTCTTCCGTTTTAGGACTCAGCGAGTTTTGGCCAGGTGTCTGGTGTTCACATTGTTTTCCAAGAGCCCATTCCTGGGAACCCCATTACATGGACTGGCCGTGGATTTGCCAGGGTTCTCCCTGGAGCTGGCTTGAGATTTACTGTCAACAACATTCCCTTTCCCATGAACTTCGCCATTGCTGTTCGCTATGAAATCCAGGTATTCTTTAATCCCATTTCTTGGATGGTAAAAAGCTGACAGAAAGATATTCTTGAACTATTTCCATTTCAGTTGTGCTAGGATAGGCTGCTTGTAAAGTGATGTACCCAGAGTAGAATATCTGGAGAGCATTATAAACCAAAGGGCTTCCTAAAGGTCTTGAAACAACACAGTGAGCCGTGTGCACCCGTGCTTCGTCCCATGGAGAGAAGCGAAACATGGACGTAGGTATTTAAGGTACCAGGTTTAACAAAGCAGTGACCGAAAGTTTGTGTAAGAACAATAAACAACTACAATAACACAAGTCCCACCCTCCTGGGATTATTTATTTATTAATCTAATAAACCAACACATGTGTAGAGATTCATTCATACAGAACGCAGCAGAGGCATTTGTTTGCATTTGGATCTTGCCCTGCAACAAGAGAAAGATTAAAAGCAGACTGTTTTTGCCTCCTATTCCCTCACTCTACTCCCCCGCCCTGTCTTTGAGAAATATCTAAGACTGAATAGAAACCAAATTGCAAAAATACTTGGTTTACAGCAGTAGCTCCTAACCTTTTCTTTGGACATCTGAAACCCACTGACCATTACCTCTAACAGATATTTTTGATGGCTGGAGGCAGGAAGTGTTGAGAGGCCCCACACACAGCTCCTCTGGGGACAACAGTGTGGTCCTGCTTGCTATGTTATCACTGCCCAGGGCTGCTGATCACTTTGAAACTCTTGATAGGACATCATTCTCCTACAAAACAAAGTCAAGGGATTCCAATTTAACTTTGACCTGTTGAGTGTGATAAGAAAGCCATTTCAAAAGAAATATAGGACTAGCCAGTGGTGTGGTGGAAAAAGCAGCTGAATCCCATATGGCTGACTGTGTGTCTCCAGTCTCAAACTCAGTGCCTTGAAAAACACATCAGGGGGACCAACGGGTGGCATGGTGGTTAAGGTGCTGGACACTCCCACATGACTGACCACAGTTTGAGTCCCGGACCTGGCAGCTTGCTTTCTCACTCTTTCTCTCTCTCTGTCTCTCTCTGGTCAAATTAAAATAAATGAGGGGACCAGCAGTTAGCATAATGGCTATGTCGCTGGACTCCCACGTAGTCGAACGTGGTTCGCGTCCCGGACCCGGTGGCTTAAAACTTACACCGGGCGCGTGTGCGTGCGTGCCCAAGATCCAGAGAGGAGAACGGAGAAGGGATTGTGGCGTGGCCATCCCCCTTGGGGAGTGATTTCTCGCTTTCTATCTCTCTGTCTCTCTCTGTCTGTCTGGCGAGCGCACGCACCTTATGGCAAAAAACCTCTCAAAAAATAATTAATTAATTAATTAATTAATTAAATGAATGAATAAATAAAATAAATAATTTAAAAAAAACATCAGGTATATGTGTGCGTGTGCCCAAAATCCTGAGGGGAGATTGGAGAAGAAGGAATTGTAGCATGACCATCCCCCACATGGAGTAGTTTCTTACTTTCCTTCTCTTTCTCTTTCTTTCTCTCTCTCCCTAGTGAGTGGCATGTATCTTCTGGCAAAAATTTTAAAATGAAATAAAATAAGATTAAGTTAAAAATTTTTAAGAGTAAAAAATATGTATATAAATAAATTTGTCCATAGAGATAAAATATCTCTAACAGCTTTAAAAAGCTTTTCTACTTATAAATTTTCCAGAATAAATTTGAATATCTGTCCCATATGTGTGTGTGTGTGCATTTCAAAATTTTCATGGAAAAGTGGAATTAGAATTAAAATTTTGTTGCAAAAAGAATTTTGGAAATTTATGCATAGTTTTTTTTTTTACAATGCACGTTTTCCATGAATTTTTCTTTTTTTTTTTTTTTGGAGAGGTTTTTTGCTATAGGGCATGTGTGCTCACCAGAAAGACAGAGAGAGAAGATAGAAAGTGAGAAATCAAACCCCCCCCGGGGGGGATGGCCAAGCCACAATCCCTTCTTCTCCATTCTCCTCTTGGGATTTTGGGCACGCACACACACACACACACACGCGCGCACTCGGCGTGAGTTTAAGCCACCAGGTCCAGGACTTGAACCGAGGTAGACTACATGGGAGTTCAGTGACATAGCCATTACACTAACTGCTGGCCCCATCCATGAGGTTTTTTTTAAGACTCTACAGGTGTGTATGTCAGGTGTGTGTGTGTGTTCTTTTGGGAAGGATTTCAAATTATTATTTTCTGTTCTGTGATCAGGGGACAACATGAATTAATTTGCTCTTTGAGAGACAGGTATTGAAGATTAGACTTGTGAGGAGAGTTAGTGTTTTCCCAGACTCATGAACTATAGTTATAGCCAGAAACAATGTTCTTTCTGCTTGAATCACAATTCAGACCCCAGAGAACTGAGCCTGGGAGTGAGTCTCAAAGATTTGTCTTCAGTTCCCAAACTCTACTTTTTAAGTGGGCTATGGGTTGCAAATGGATTCCATGTACTATCCGTTGGTATATGGGTGTGTGTGCAAAATGGTTTCCTGCATCCTCACGGTGACAAGCTTTGATGTCATGCCTATCTAGTCTGCAGCTGACTGGGCTGTCCGCATTGTGGTTAAGCCGTCTGGAGGGAGCGAGTACTGCACAACCAGGACTACACTGCCAAAGCCTCAGTCTTTTACCTTGCCAGCATCTGCCAGGTATGCTTGGGACTTGTCCTCAAACACTCAAGGTGACTTAGAATTTCATTGATCTGTCTGTAATTTTATCTGGGAACTAAATGAGAGAAGAGGGGTATTAAAAGAGACTATAACATGTATTAAGCACTCACTGCATGCCACACTCTACATATAATGTCATACCTAATCTTCACAACCATGCGATGAGGTAGGTTTTGTCTTCATCAGATGAAGAAGAAATGGAGAAGAGAAGAGTGAAACAACCTGCCCACAAGTGTGGAGCAGAACCAGGATTCCAGCCCGGATATCCTGACTCTAAATCTTGAATGTTTCTTCAAGAATATCTGTCCCCTAGATGGCTTTGAAATGTGAGAAAGTAAATGCTACAAGATTCTGCGTGAGTACTCTCAATGACAGAGAGTTTATGTGCTAAATGGCTACTAATTTTGAGAGCACTCATTTTGCCTCATCAGTGATTTACAACAAAATTAAACAGAGATCCCTCTGATGTTGGCATGACAGATTGAAGGAAATCCATCCCTTCCTCTCCCCTGAGTTCTCATGATAACTCATGATTATTGGCTTCTAAGACCTTACCATTTGTCACAATCCTGTGGACAAGCCACCAAGGATCTGAGTGTGAATTTACTGTCCTGACAACCTAGGAGCAGATCGGCCTCAGACCCTTCTGGAGCCCGCTTCACTGCACAAGTGGAACGTCGGCCACTTGGGAATCTCAGTGTCTTTTTGTCACTGAAATTTTGTCCTCTTTCTCTTGATACAGAATTGCACTGCTTCCCACACCCATCTGTTTAGCCCCTGGTGTACAATATTCCATAGATGTCTATTTTTCTCAGCCCTTGGAAGGAGTGCCCCATGCAAGTTCACACATCCTGGTCGATTCTGTAAGTATACCAGAGCTTCCTGGGTGCTTTCTTCTCTGCTGAGCACCCTAGTAATTTTCCGTTTAGTCTCTTTAGGGAAGTATTTCTTTAAAAATATGCATGTATTGGTTTAACTATTAAAGCCACCTGATGACAACTGCAAATCATACTTAACGATATATCCCAGTGCTGTTTGAACTGGTTTACGTTTTGTATTATTTAATCTTCACAATAACCCTGTGGGCTAGGTACTGTCACTGTGTTATAGATGACAGAACTGAGGCACAGGGTGAGTGAAGAGTCAGGAGGAGAGTCGCATCACTCAGAGCCACTACATGCCTTACAGAAAGTTTGGGGACAAAAATCGCACTACTTTAATTATTTTTTTATAAGTTCCTTTTTTAAAAAGAATTATTTTATTTAACTTTAAATTTATTTATTTAAATTTGACCAGAGAGGGAGAGAGAGAGAGAGAGGAAAGGAAAAAGCAAGCCACCAAGTCCGGGACTCGAACTGCGGTTGGCCATATGGGAGTCCAGTGCCCTTAACCACCATGCCACCTGCTGGCCCCCCTTAAATTCCTACTTTGTGCATTCTATATTTTTGTATCACTGTTATCAGAGTACTAATTATATGGATTTTTTACTTCTTATTATATCCCAACCATTTTTTAAAGAATTATTTAAATTTATTTATTATTTTTATTAATAATTGGACCAAAGAGAGGCAGAGGGAAAGTGAGAAAACAAGCTACCAGGTCTGAGACTCGAACTATAGTCAGCCATGTGGGAGTCCAGTGCCTTTAACCACCACACCACTGCCAGCCACATCATCCTAAGCATTTTTAATGGTACTTAGTAGCCTCGTTTTTGTCTTTAGGATCTATGCATATTTCCTGAGTGACTTCTTTCAGCACCTTCCCCCCAAGAGAGTTGAGCTGTAGGTGTTTCTGCTAACCCTCTCCCTCTGCATAGTCCTACACACTCAGAATGATCACTTTTTCAGAATTTGGGCATGAGTAAATTTATTTAATTATTTGTCTGTTACCCTGTCCATGATCACGTAAGTTGCTTCCACTTTTCACTACTGCAGATATTTGAAACACATGTATAAACTGTTTTAAAATATATTCTGCTTTACCCAAGGGTTTATTGCTCTTACTCAGTCAGATTACTTTCTAGAAGGAATTCCTCAGTTAATTTAAATTTAAGGGGTAGAGTTGACCAGGCCTGTGATTGATTTGCTGTGTGTGGGATGTGGGATGTAGGTTAGGTGGAGAGGGCTGATCTCAAAGAGGCAGGTGTCAAAGATGTCCATCCAGGGGCCTGATGGTGGCTCTGCAGTGAGACACGACACTCTGCGAGGCAATCCCACATGGGAAGGCTCCCAGTTTAAATCCAGAGACCTCCCCAAATATACCAGACAGGTATTTGCCCCTGGTCTGGGGCTGGCTGAAGGTTGGGATGGAGCATGGTGTCGGGAACCGGTTGAAAATGCATTCTCCCTCTCTCCCTCTCTCTCTCTCTCTGTCTCACTCATGGAAAATATAGATGAATCAACTTTTTCCAAAAGGCCTTTCAGTTTTCTCCACTGAGCAGCTTGGCAGATGATGCCCTTCTTTACCAAGAAAGGGCACAGAGAGGAAAGCAGGTTTCTGGCATGTTTGATCTATATTGCCTATGGGACAACCAGTAGGTAATTAGGTCAGCGCAGACTGGAACCCATGACTGAGAGGTGTGTGCAGCAGTAAATTCAGGTGCCCATCACCTATAGGTAGATGGTAATACAGAGTTGCTACTGTCACATGAGAGGCAGGTGTGCAGTAAGAAGGGGCCTGAGGAGAGGACCCTGAAAGACCCCCCACACACACATATTTAGGGATGAGTGGAGAGAGGGTATTGTGTTGGCTCACAAAGTAAACAGAAGAAGAGGAGTGGTGATGGCAAGAAAATAATTTCTCAAGAAATTTGGCAATCAAGGAGTCAACAGGCAGAAATGGGGCTATGGCTGGAATATATGAGATCAAAGCATTGATTTTACAGAGATGGAGGAGACAGGCACATTTGAAATGTCAGTTGAGTGGAAGAGATCAAAAAAAGAAAGTGCTGTCCACAGAAGAGTTTCCTGGAGGTAGAGAGATGCAGGGGGATACCTTTTCCACCACAGTACTGCTTCCTTCTTAAGCACTGGGAATCAAGGGTACCTGTGAGAATGGAGATTGGGAGACAGGAAGTAGGAGGCTTCATTCCATTGCTGGAGTCTGTTTTCTCTGTGAAGTGAGGAGGGTAAGAGGAATCAGGTATACTGAGAAATGAATTCAGAGAATTGAGGAGCAGGAGACCCTTTGAAATAGTCATTGAGGGTAGAGATCCCTCCAGCTGCCTGTGTCAAAGAATAATTAGGGACATAATTATAGAGGGTTGAAGGAAAGGGTCATAGGAAGCAAAAAGAAGATCAGGGAGATTTTTCTGGGCTACCAGGTTCAGACCCTTAACTTGCCAAACTAAAACCTGTTTTCAATGCCGTAGCACCAGTTGTTCAAATGACCAACTTGGTGTGATAGATATGCTTCTAAAACACTCTACGATGTCATCTAAATCCATTAAAGAACAGTTTAAAATAGTAATAGGTCATAACTTAGATGAGATACTCTCAAAAAACTAAAACTTAGTAGTTTTTCCTCATATAAGAATAAGTTTATAAGTTTACACTAGCTATGGCCTAAGCTATAAATTCCCAAAATGTATCCATGAATTATTAGTTTTATAAAGTATAAGTATAATTTGGACATAGAACCAAATGATGAATAAGTATAGAAATACAGAGTTTGAAAAGTATTTTTCTTCCTCAGCCTCTGTGGCACATTTCATAGTGTAACAGATTGCAGTGCTGAAAGCTACATGACTACCCTGCGTTCAGATCCCCAAGTCATCCTGAAAACATTTGGGGCATGCATGTGGATGCCCAAAGCCCTGAGGAGCCAGAGGGCTGCAGAAAGGGAACTGTGGCATGAGGGGACTCTGTCAAGAGTGCTTTCTCTCTGTCTCTGCCTCTCTCTCATGCACACACATACACACACACACAAGCTATCATTTCTTATATATGAAAAAGGATGGCAGCAAGAACATGTTTCATTGAGGAGTCTGCTCTTCCTCTTTCTCGCTCTCTTCTCTCTGGAAAGTGCATTCACCCTCTCTAGACAGATATTTATCTATCTGGAAAGAGAGATCCCTCTTATAGTACTTCTCTGAGCCTTTAATAGGTTAACCTATACTGCAAATCTGCAGGAGGCCAGTAAAGTTTGATGTAGAACACTACTCTCTACATATAACTGAAAAAAACAAAGAATTTTACACAATTTGTGTTCTACAGTAACACCATGAAATACATTAAGTCATACTTTCTTTGTTTTTAAAGAATTGCTTATTTAATTTTATTTACTACTATTATTAATTTGTTACACACATGCTCACCAGAAAGAGACACACAGAGAGAGAGAAAGTGAGAAAGTAAGCCTCCCAGTCTGGGACTCAAACACGGTTGGTCATGTGAGAGCACAGCACTTCAACCACTGTGCCACCTGCTTGCCCTAGCTATACTTTCTTAATTTATTACAACTGGACTCAATAAAATTCTTTCAAATCTAAAACAAATTTATTAACAAGTAAAAAATAGAATAATAATGACATTAAAAAGATAAAGGATTATTTTCTTTTTCATAAGTCAATAAAATAAATATTAAAAGATTTCTAAAATAAATTGAAAGTTTGAAAATCTTCAGATAGAGTCAGTTAAAAAGACCAAATTGAGTCTCTTTTAAGTTATTGTTTTCATAAATGTGTTTTGTTTTGTTTTGTTGTGAGAGGTTTTTGCTATAGGGCATGTACACTCGCCAGAAAGACAGAGAGACAGAAAGCAAGAAATCACCTCCCTGGGGGGTGGCCACACCACAATCCCTTCTCCATTCTCCTCCGGGGACGTTGGGCACACATGTACACGCGCCTGGCGTGAGTTTAAGCTGCCGGATCCAGAACTTGAACTGCAGTCGACTATGTAGGAGTCCAGTGATGTAATCACTACACCACATGCTGGTCCCCATAAGTGCATTTTTAAAATCTAACTAGAATCTTCAATAAAAGTCTGTTTGAACATGTCTTCTTTTCTCATTTTAAAAGCTTGGTCTTATTCCCCAAATCAATTCATTGGAGAATTTCTGTAGCAAGCAAGACTTAGATGAGTATCAGCTGTACAACTGTGTTGAAATTGCCTCAGAAACGGGACCTCAAGAGCTCCCTGGTGCATGTGAAAGACTTATAGTCAGCATGTCTGCCAAGATACACAACGGGGCAATGCGTGAGTATCTGTTTAGTGGACTCCACTGAAGTGCTGCTCTCTGTATAAATGCTTTGGGAAACAAGAGTGAATCCATCTATTTTACCATCCACCCCAAACAATAACCAAAATACCCCTCACCAGTAATTAGATGCACGGAGTGGTCTGCTGACACGTTAGAATCATAATTGGACAGGGCGGTGCCTGGATAAAAGAGGACGTCTGTGATAGCACTGGAATACTAGCTTGCTGGGACAGTGGCCCTAAAACACTCATCTGGAATCCTAGGAGTTTAGAACTGGAAAGAACTATAAACAACTTCGTTTATCCCAAAGCCCTCAATAAATAAGGATATAGGTTTCCAAAAACATTATGTAACTTACCCATTTCACTTAGCTATAGAGAAAGGTTCCTCAGCTGCGCTATTATGGAGATTCTGAGCTGGGCCCTGTGCATGACAGGATTTTTACAACATTCCTACCCACCTAATACCAGTATCACCATCCTCAGTTCTGACCTCCCACAATGTCTCCCAATGGTATCGAATGTCTCAGGGAGGCAAACTCACTCCCCAGCTGGAAACCACTGATACAGAACAGCAGTGACAGTGAGAGTCTGGGCTTCCTGGGTTCTAGGCAAATGCTTTTTCCATTAGGACAGGGCTATGAGTTCAAGGTGCCCACCATCTCATCAAACAGATGGAATAGGGAAATTAAAAATAGCAGATATATTTAGATTTAGATCATCAGTATTTGAAGTGCTAATAATACCAATTATGATAATTATATTAGAATAATCAATTATTTAAAACTATTTCTTTTAATCCTTTTATTAAGTAATGTTGCTCAAACACTTACTATTTGTCATACACTCTTCTAAGCACTCCATGGGCGTTACTGCCTGTGATCTGTGTAACAGTCCCACCAGGTAGATCCTGTGTGATGTCCATGTAACAGATGAGGAAGCTGAGGATTAGAGAGGTACCACATAAAGAAAAGGTGTGCTAAGTCTGCTGAGGGGTGCGCTACTTCTCTGCCACTCCCATCACCTCTACTCCCTTCTTTGTTCCCTGCAGCCTGCAAGTGTCACCCCCAGGGCTCAGTTGGGTCCACCTGCAGCCGACTTGGAGGCCAGTGCCAGTGTAAACCTCATGTGGTTGGACGCTGCTGTGACAGGTGCTCATCTGGAAGCTACGGTTTGGGGCATCTTGGCTGTCACCGTACGTATAAAGAGCACACGATGGGAAAAGTGCTGCTTCGTAACCTGGTCGTTTTAAGCAGGCAAAGCAATGTGGGGAGTTATAAAGGGGAAGGCGTTGGGAACTTGACTATAGTATTCAGACTGTCTACTTATGTAGATAGATGTACTGAAAACTTTTCTCCCACACTTCCTTTATCAATGGGCTCTAACCATGAACAGAGCTCTAGTAGGAACCTGAGGGATAAACAAAACACAGTGCGTGTTCCTGGGAGTGCACAGTCTGTATCAAATGGGAGGTAGTCCAGGTACAATGTAGGAGCCCCATTAGGGAGTTGGCTATGCAAACCCAGCTCTGAGATCGACCATGTAAGTCAGAGGTTGGAAAGCGTAATGCAACGGTGAGATTGAGAGACTGAGAAAGAGGACAGCCACCACAGGTTAGATATGCTCCACTGAAGATATCACCCTTTCTGATGCTGGGATTGTAAACAGCCTTGGAACTCTTACAAGCCACTCATTATTAAGGTCTTAGATGGGACTTTCTCCACAGCTGATAATTCAGCTCTGTGCCTGTCATGTCCAGAATACACAGTTCTCTGTGCAGAAAGTAAGTCATAAGTTAAAACTCTGTTCCTCTTGAGAACAGGCAGGAGGTCTATCATGGCTTTTTCTTTTCTTCTTCTTTTTTTTTTCTTTTTACTATTACAAAGTAGGGCCAGCTGGTGGCAAAATGGTTAAGGCAGCTGATTCTCACATGGCTGAGACTTGAGATTCAAGTCCCAGACCCAGAGGCTTGAAAAATATGCCAGGTCTGTGTGTATGCCCAAAATCCTAAGAGGAGAATGGAGAAAAAGGGATTGTAGCATGGCCATTCCTCACCTCACCCCATCCCAGGGGCGATTTCTCACTTTCCTTCTCTCTGTCTCTATCTGTCTCTCTCTGGCAAGTGCAGGCACCCTATACCAAAAATCTATTTAAAAATTACAAAATGCTTCAGATACATAAAGGGGAAATATTTCTTCCACATACCACCCTATCAAACAAACAGGCATTACATTTTTGTACCAGGAAGTCTGGTTCAAAGGATTCAATAATTTATCAGGAAAGAATTGGGCCTCTAACTACCTCATCTAGGAAAAAGAAAAATCTGACCATCTGGAGAAGGGTTCTCATATTTTTTTATAATCTCATAAGATGAATGAAAGTTTAAGTCATTAAAAATATGTTGCTTGTTAGCGTAATGGCTATGTCGCTGTACTCCCATGTAGTCGACCACGGTTCATGTCCCAGACCCAGTGGCTTAAACCTCATGCTGGGCACGTGTGTGTGCGTGCCCAAGATCCCAAGAGGAGAATGGAGGAGAAGGGATTGCGGCGTGGCCATCCCCCCTGGGGGGTGATTTCTCGCTTTCTGTCTCTCTGTCTCTCTCTGTCTCTCTGGCAAGCGCACGCGCCATATAGCAAAAAAATATGTATATATATGTTACTTGTTTGGTTCTATCATGTAAATAACAAATGGTCATAAGGCCCACTTGTTCACAGCAAGCTGGTGATTGAATGAATCTGGGAATAAGTGTTATTTAATAAATGTTTACCCAGTACTCATTATCTGCCAGGCTCTGGTCTAACTGCTTTATAGACTCACCTTGTTCACCTGGATTGGACACAAAATACAAAACCAGCACTGTAACTTTTTCACTAGCATGCCTCTTGCTCCAGCCCAACATACCTCTCTTTATCCAGCATGTGAGTGCCATCCTCAAGGGTCGAAGAACACTATCTGTGACCAAGTAACAGGACAGTGCCCCTGCCTTGGAGAGGTGGCTGGCCGCCATTGTGACGAGTGCCTGGCTGGCTACTTTGGATTTCCCAACTGCCGCCCCTGCCTTTGTAATGGGTTTGCTGAACTTTGTGACCCAGAGACAGGATCGTGCTTCAATTGTGGAGGCTTTACAACTGGACCAAACTGTGAAAGGTATGGAATCCACATGCTCATTAACGTTTAGGTTTTTAAAACTTTTGTTCTGACCTCACAATGCAGAATCGTTGAATAGAGACTCAGTAATACTCAGAATGACCACTATGGTTGGAGGAGATCTTGTTCCATCATCCTTCTAAAGCATCCGATGAGCCAGAAATGTCCGATTAAATTGATAACACACATTTGCCTGGCACATTGCTTTTCATGCCCTTCAAATGTGATATGTAAATCAACTGCTATTATGTTGCATTTAAGGACCACACCTTGACCTTTTCAATAAAAAACAAAAAAATCCTTTTACAGAGCAAATGAGCAACTTCTAAAATACTGAGTTTTGAGAGTTACACTGTCTTAAAGCATAGCAAATCCATAGTAGTTAACACATGAGCTTTTCCTGGAAACATTTTTATAAAAGCAAATTGCCTTGACAGGTGCATAGATGGTTACTATGGAAATCCTTCTTCAGGACAGTCCTGTCGTCCTTGCCCATGTCCAGACATTCCCTCAAGCGATCAGTATTTTGCACACTCCTGTTATCAGAATCCTTGGAGCTCAGATATAATTTGCAATTGTCTTCAAGGTTATGCAGGTATGTAGTGTAGTACATGGTATCTTTTTTTTCTTCTTTCTCACCCTGCATTCTGGAAAATTATCGTATATTTATAATATATCTGCCTTAGACAAAGGAGTAGTGCAGGAAATAAGTTAATGGTAAGAAGACATAATTGTCAAAATTGCTGCTTTACTGAATAAAAAATTTGAACGATTCAAAAACCAATGACTGGGTCTGCTACATAGCCCAGCAGTAATACACTGCTTGGGAAGACTGGATCTGACCTGGCAACCATAATTCAAATCCGTGACCCAGTCGGCCTGGCATGTATGAGGCGTGCACCAAAGTGCCCAAGAGCCAATGGGCTGGAGGACTGGAGGGCTAGAAGGGCTGGAGAACCACTCTGTGGTCCTGTGGACGACTTCTCTCTCTTGTTCTGTCTCTCATAAGTGTGCGTGCGCTCTTAAGAGAAAGAAAAAAAAAAAAACGAAAACCAATGACAATTAAAAACTCATTCCCTGGACTGTAATTGTTTTTGAATTATGTTCTAGAAAACTAACTGACCAAATGAAATCCAGTCAAATTAATTTAAAATAAAATCATTACATGTTAAATAAGATATATATGTGATTGAATAGCATATAACATAGGTAATTTTACATTTTAACCAATTAAGTGTTTTCTTTCTGTACTTTCGAGCAATCTATTTAACTGATATTTCACAGATACAGCTAATTTTTTCAGATGTCTTAAAGCACTTATTTGGATATCATACCAACACTATGTAAGTCTGAATTCAAAATTTGTATCTGTTACTCAACCAAAATTTTCATGTCAAAGAGTGTAAACATGGTTATGATTATATAATACAGACAAGGAAAAAACTTATAAAGTCTACTTGATTTAATCATACATAGGGCAATATCAATTTCTTCAGGCATAATTACCATCATAATAAGAAAGTATCTGCCTGATATTCTTCTTATTTGTTACATATAAAGCTACACATGGCTCTAGTTAGTTCTTACCTCTTCCCCTGTAGCCTTTTCATGTACATGGCGGTTGTTTTTAAGAACTGAGACCTTGTTTGGGTTGCAAGAACATTTTCAAATAGGATGAACCAAATTCTGGAAATAATCCCTAAATGACTACAGTTACCTTCTGGTTGGAAGAGTGAAAGTATTGGGTCCCGGGATGCAGTAGGGTGACACTGGTTATACAAAGACCTAGAAATCTTGTGCTCACAACCTCAACATTTTTGAAGATTATAATCCTTTCTTCACCAATGACAGTTTTAGCTCTGAATAATCTTTTTATTCTCTGAATGAATAATAAATTTAAATGAATGTTTTAATTTAGAAATGTTTTCCCTTATTTACCTCAAATGTATAGCTTCTTGTTAACTCTAGAGGAGCCCAATTGTTCTCTGTTTAAATCAATTTCTCTCTCCCCTCACACTCACACCTCATCCTATGTACTCCCCCCACCCCACCCCTCTGCTTGTTTCAGGTATTCACTGCGGAGAATGCTCTGCTGGTTTCTATGGGAATCCGAGAATTTCAGGAGCACCTTGTCAGCCTTGTGCCTGCAACAACAACATAGATGTAACCGATCCAGAGTCCTGTAACCGCATCTCAGGGGAGTGCCTTAGATGTCTGCATGACACTCAGGGCTCGAACTGCCAGCTCTGCAAACCAGGTTACTTCGGATCAGCCCTCAATCAGACCTGCAGAAGTACGTCCACCATGCTCCCAGGCGGGCAGGGAAGAGTCATGGGGGGAAGTGGTGGCCAAGTGGCTGCTAGTAATTGTGCTGTCAGCTCTCCCACACTCATTTCACTTAGGCTAGTCCCAGGCAGCAAAAGCAGTACCCACTGGGTGAAGGGGCTGCTGTACTGACTCAGTAGCAATCAGGGCAAAGCTAGCCTGGATATTCTCAGATACAGCTGCAGCGTGGCATCAGTTTGACTTTTGAGACTGTGGCTTTTAACACTCGTCCTAGAGGAGTCTAAGCGTTATTTCTTGGAGTATGGTCCACACCACACCGGTGCCAGAATCACTTGAGGTGGGAGATATTAACAAGCAGTTTCCTGGGCTGTACTTCAGACCCACTGAGCCAGAATCTCTGGGTGAGGCTCAGGAATCTGCATCGCAACAAGCTCATCAAGTGACTTTAATGTGTATATATAGGAGAATCCCAGATGTAGAAGAAAAGGTTTGATTCTATGATAAAGAAAGAGGGCACTAAACCACTGATTTTTAAGAACTATTTTAACTATTAATATTTCAGTTAACCCAAGTCAATTCAGTAAACCACTCTGTTCCAATTCATTTAAGTAAATGGAACTCTAGTAAATAGCATAAGGAAAAAGTGAGACTTGGTGATCCTCACCCTAAGTTCTTGGAGCATCCTAGCTTGAACCACATCAAAGTGCCACTTAGGGAGAGCAACAATTGAATGGGTTCAACCCACCTAGATTACCTGGTAAATCTTGTACTATTATGTTTCTTCTTTGAGAGCTCTGAAGAAATGATACATCCAGGTCTAAAAGGCTGTCTGTGTGGTTTGTGAAATGCGGGCTTTATCACTGAATCGACTTCTTATGATGGCTTTATTGTCCTAGGATGCACCTGCCATTCTTCTGGAGTAAGCCCCGTTGAGTGTTCCCCCACTGGGGGAGCTTGCCTCTGTGACCCTGTCACAGGCGCATGCCCCTGTCTGCCGAATGTCACAGGCCTGGCCTGTGACCGATGTGCTGATGGACACTGGAATCTGGTCCCTGGCAGAGGATGTCAGTTATGCGACTGTGACCCCCAGAACTCTCAGAGTAGCCACTGTGACCAGGCAAGAAACTTTCAAACTTACTAGTGCACTCAGGGTAAGGATTGACAGGGAGATGTGGCTTCCAAACCTGTAAAGAATGTCTTCTTCGTGTGATGTTTTTAAGTAGATTTTTTTATGGATTGGCCTTATGTAGGGATAGAATTGGCATTTATCAAGGAATCAAAGGCACCCAAAAAAGAGAATAAGGGTCTCAAAGTTAAGCTGTGCCTACTTGAGTTTTCTCTATGTTTCTTTGTGATTAGGGCAGTCAAAATTCATGCACAATAAAACACAAATACTGACCTTCCCTCTTACTAGGGCCTGAGAAATAGATTGTTAATCAAAAGTGATTATTGGGACCAGCAATTAGAGTAATGGCTATGTCACTGGACTCCCATGTAGTCGACCGTGGTTTGAGTCCTGGACCCGATGGCTTAAACTCATGCCAGGCACGTGTGCGTGCGTGCCCAAGATCCCGAGAGGAGACTAGAGGAGAAGGGATTGCAGCATGGCCATTCTCCCTGGGGGGTGATTTCTCACTTTCTGTCTTTCTGTCTCTCTTTGTCTTTCTGGCAAGCGTACGCACCCTATAGCAAAAACCTCTCCAAAAAAAAAAGTGATTATTAATTAGATACTGTCAAACCCACAATTCTATTTCTAAAAATTGAGTTTCTGTGTCCTATGGCTCACCAATTGCTTTACAAGTGGGTAGATGTCTTCTATACTTCTCTACTTCTAGACCAGCATCAATCATTTCTAAAGAATGCAGGCTGTTATACTAGAAGCAGATCTCCATTGTTTAATAAAACTAATGCTACTTAGCTGTACAAGGGATTTCAGTCAATACAGCAATGGGCATGGGAATTTAAAAATGATCTTCAACATTATTTATGGAACAACAATATGTTAATATTATACCTAGCTTTTGGTTTTGTTTTGAGTTGTTTTGTTTGTTTGTTTGTTTGTTTGTTTATTTTGGATTAATGAATCTAGGCTTTGAAATACCTTTCATGTTTATAGACATTAAGGGGGGAAAGGACAAAACAATGATAAAGAATTTTAGAAAAAGTCAACTCTACAATATAGAGATTAGGTTTTAATTGGAATCAGGTGCTAATTTAAGAAGTCAGAGTCTTGGGGACCAGCAGTTAGCGTAATGGCTATATCACTGGACTCTCACGTAGTCGACCACGATTTGTGTCCTGGACCCGGTGGCTTAAACTCACGCCAGGCGTGTGTGCGTGCGTGCCCAAGATCCCGAGAGGAGAATGGAAGAGAAGGAATTGCGGCATGGCCATCCCCCCTGGGGGGTGATTTTGCGCTTTCTGTCTCTCTGTCTCTCTCTGTCTGTCTGGCGAGCACACCTATAGAAAAAACCTCCCCAAAAAAAAAAAAAAAAAAAAAGTCAGAGTCTTTCCGATTAGTAAACCAGCTCACCTCCGATTTCGGCTCTGCTATTCAATTTATTATTCAAAGAACAAATTGACACAAGGGAATTTTTGAAAGGAGTTCTTTTATAAAAAATTTGTCTTCCCTTCTCTTTTTCTTTCTCTCATCCTTACCTCACCCAACCCAAACACATCACACTCTCTTAAAAAAAAAAAAAAAAAAAGAAATGAGCTTTTTATTTTAAAATATATCTTTGCATAGAAAATTACATCATAAATTTTCCAATGACCCAACATTTTGAAGATGTGAAGATAGTACAGAGAAGTTGTATCCCAGACCTAGTTTCCCCTATTAAAACATTTTAAATTAGTATGCTACATTTGTCATAACTAGTGAACCAATATTGACACATTATCACTAACTAAACCTCATAATTTATTCAGATTCTTAGTTCTTTTTTTTTTTTTTTGGAGAGATTTTCACTATAGGGTGCGTGCGCTCACCAGACAGACAGAGAAAGACATAGAGACAGAAAGCAAGAAATCACCCCCCAGGGGGGATGGCCATGCCGTAATCCCTTCTCCTCCATTCTCCTCTCGGGATCTTGGGCATGCATGCACACGCGCCCGGTGTGAGTTTTAAGCCACCGGGTCCGGGACTCGAACCATGGTCAACTACGTGGGAGTCCAGTGACATAGCCATTATGCTAACTGCTGGTTCCTCAGATTCTCTTAGTTCTTACCTCACATCTTTTTTTACCCCCAAATCTCTTCCAGACCACTTTACACTTGGTCGCGCTATTTCCTCAGGCTTCTCCTGGTTATAACAGTTTTTTAGACTTTCCTTGGTTTTGATGACCTTGATAGTTTTAAGGAGTGTTTTGTAGAATGTCTCTCAATTCAATTTTATCTGATATTCTTCTCATGATTAGACTTCGGTTACAGGTTTTGAGAAAACCGGGGAGGTAAAATGCCAGGCTTAGCACTTTATTATCAAACGTATATGTTATTCACATGACTTATCAATGTTAATGTACATCTTGATCACTGGACTTAAAGTAGTGTTTGTAAAATGTCTTTTCCCTTCTATATATTGAACTCTTTGGAAGGAAGTCACTATGTACAAACCCACTAAAGGAAGAGAGTTATACTCACCCTCCTAGAAAGTAGAGTTTCTCCATGAGTCATTTGAAATTCTTCTGCTCTAGAGATTGGTCAGTTGCTCTCTCATTATTCATTCAATCAATCATTTATATCAGCATGGATACATTTGGTTCTAGTCCAATGCCACTTTATTTTGTTTTTCATATTGTTCCAACTTTGGTCATTGGACCAACTTTGGTCATTTGGCTCCTATGTCCCTTTGACATAACCCAATATTACAAAGGTTTTTAAATTTTTTAGTTATCATCATTATTATTATTTTAAACTTGCTATAGGGCATGTGCACCCACCAGAGAGAGAGAGAGAAACAAAAGTGAGAAAGCACACTACCAGATCAGATCTGGGACTCGAACCATGGTCAGCCATATGGGAGTTCAGTATCCCAACCACTGAAATCCTGGTCTGGATTTTTAAAAGTACTTTTTTACTTTGCCACACTGCAAAATGCTACAGGCTCATTTTATATATTTTCTGTCCTGGCCCTGGAATTGATCATTTCTCCAAGGAATGCTGTTTTTTGGGTTTTGTTTTTGTTTTTGTTTTGAGAGATTTTTGCTATAGGGCCCGTGCACTCACCAGAAAGACAAAGAGAGACAGAGAGACAGAAAGCAAGAAATCACCCCTCAGGGGGATGGCCACACCGCAATTCCTTCTCCTCCATTCTCCTCTCAGGATCTTGGGCACGCACACACACATGCCTGCCGTGAGTTTAAGATACCAGGACTTGAACCACAGTTGACTACATGGGAGTCCAGTGACGTAGCCATTACACCAACTGCTGGTCCCTGGAATACTGGTTTCTTTATTGGCAGTAATGGTAGAAACCAAGGTCAAGGTACTAGATGATCATATCTGTGCTTCCCTCACCTCTCTGCAGCCACCAACTATGGAATAAATTGGTAGATCTCCAACTTGATGGCTTAGCTTTCTCATTCATTAGGGACTTCTAATGTTCATGATATCACTGTCTTGCATGTTTCTTAGACCTCTTGGGACTCATATGTATGGTAGCACTCAACAAGACCATACTTGAGTCATGGAGGCCAGGGGCCTCCTATCAGGCCAAAAACCAGATGGTACTGATTTATCCCAAAAGCTCCTCATGACAAGGGTACTTTGGATTTGTTTGATCCATAGGGGATTTCTTGGAGAAGGTTGCTCTCCACAATCAGGAAACACTTTTCATTGGTATACAGAGAGGACATGTGGATATTCAGAGCCACAGCTGTTTAAACAACTACTGATAAATGTTCCTATGTCAGCCAGGAGGTGGTCTCTAGTGCATTCCCACAAAGAGATCCAAACATGCCATCCAGTATTTTAAATCAATAGTTCATATGGAGTTGGAGAAACATGCTCCTCAAATTTGCAGATACTACAAAATCATAAGCTAGTGTGATAAAGATAGAATAAGAGGCAAGACAGCCTAACAGGTTACCATGTAGGCAGAACACAAGAAAATGAAATCTTAACAGGGTAAAAGTAAAGTTTTGCAAATCCCTTACACAAATACAGGGTAGGAGTGATAATTTGGCATCAGCTCTTGTGAAAAACATCTGAGGATTTTCATCACATGCAGGCTTCAAGTGAGCCAGCAGTACAGCAAGGCTGCCAAAGAGACAACACCGGTTCAGCCTTACTCCCGGGTCATTCGCACCCTTGTCTGCTCTACTGGTCGGATGGCCCCAAGAACACAGTCATCATGTCTGAGTACAACTACATATATGAATGGTTGGCAAGCTATTATGGATCCAAAGACAGCAAGGATAATGGATAGTACCATGCTGTTCTGGGATGAAAGTTTGAAGGAAGTGTAGGTGGTTGGCCTGAAGAAGAGAAGAAAAGGCAAGTTGAAACTGTGAGGGGGAAACGGAAGGCTTCCTATTTCCTATATGCTTTTCCTTGAGGCAGGGTACAAAACAATAGGAACAAGTTACAAGGAAGCAGATTCTACATCAGTATAAGAACATACTGCCCAACAATCCAGGACAGTCAGCAGATGACAGTCCTCTGGGGCAACAAGCTCCCTGTACATCTCCATATTTGTCCAGAAACTAGCAGAAACTCTGGAGATGGAAAGAAGCCTAATAGAATCAATTACTTTATTAATCCACCTACTTATTTACTGGAAGCGTACCTACACACTGGTTGTCGAATCAGATTTGGCCAAGTATAATTTAGGACTACAAAAATAGTAATTTGCGTTTGTATTTTCTCCTGTTGATTTTTTATCCTCCTCGGTTTTCAGCAAAGTTGGTTAAGAATCCAGCTGGGAAGGTACAGGCAAGTCCATCCATTTCCCAAAACATATTTAAGGGCTATCATTAAATAATTAAATCTAGTACAAAAAGTGTTATCTTTTTTTTAAATTTTTTTTAGTAAAACCCTAACCCAGTTGGTAAAAACTACATCATACATAATAGAAATATTACTTGCCAAATTATTGATGGATGTTAGACCAGGTCCTTGGCCTCTCTTTTATAGGGGAAACTCCCAGAACAGCAGAGGAAGAGAATGTGGCCTGCTTCCCATTGTGTGTTTTGTTTTCATTTACATCTGTGTTTGGGGCCACCTGTCCCTGAGCAGCTGGAAGCAGGCAGTATATTCAAGAGCTCTGAGCCAAAACACATTAACTCTGAGCCTGGATATTGTCAGGGGTGGTGGCTAGCTGTGGGAATCATCTTTTCTCCACCTTTGCACAGCTGTATGTTCTAGATCACTAGAGAGAAGATGTTTCCTCCTAAAATACATTATCTTTTTAGATCAAAAGTTTGTCAATTCCTCACTCACGATTGTCCTCACAGTTTACAGGCCAGTGTCCTTGCCGATTAGGCTATGGTGGGCTACGCTGCAGTGAGTGCGAGGCCAGTCATTATGGTGATCGGCTGGGGCGATGCATTTGTAAGTACTGAAAATTCTGGAAACGTGAGTAGTCAGCCTGGCCTTCCCACAGCATGCTACCAACCAGCTAGATTTCACATTCTTTGAATTGGTTATTGCTTTCAGCAATACGGAGATCTAGAAAATTCAGAAAGTTTAGTCCTAGTTTTAAAATATTATTTTTAATATTTTAGTGCCTTATTAAAAAGATTATTTTCTCCTATATTAAAATGTCAAGCCTTTATTAAATGTTAGCCTATATTTAAAAATGTAGCATATAAAAATATAGCCTATATTAAAATTCCTTCAAGTCATTACAACAGATCTCTAAAGTCATGATTTGTGCCAAGTTTTTGCTATTTCAAGCATGTTGAGGAAAACCTACCGCTCTGAGTTAAGGTACAGGCTGGAAGATGGATCATGGGAAGCCAGAGAGTTCTTTCCTCAAAGCAACTGTCACTACTCTAGCTCAACTGCACATTCACTTATTTGTTTATTTAACAAATATTTACAGGGTGTCAGCTGGGTCCTCTCAGTAATGATCAAGCAAGGCAAGTCCCTGTCCTCTTAGAGTTTGTGTTGAGTGTCTTTCATTTACACATATGAGCCCTAGGAGGGTTTTAGAGCAACACTGCCCAACAGAACTTTTTGCAATGATAGAAATGCTCTGAATCCCTGCCATCCAATGCAGGAGCCGCTAGTCTCAGACAGCTGTTGGACATTTGGAGTATGGGTAATACACCAAAGAATGGAATCATTTATTTATTTTATGTAATTCATTTGAATGCAAATAGCTACATGCAATAAGTGGCAATTGTATTGGTACAAATTTAGAGTCTGTTGGCTTTAGGAGACAGGATTTTTGAACCTCCATTTAAAGTCAGCTTCTGAAGAAAATAACCCAAAAACATGTCAGATGCGATGGCCTTATTGTCATGGTCACCCTACATAGCCACAAGTGGTAACTCTTTCCACTGCTCCATTCTTTTATAAATACACTTCCATGGCTGAAAATATCAACCTCATTCCCATGCCCCATGCAAATACACATTCTCAATCATTTCTTTCAGGCCCCATTTGCTCAGTTTTCTAAGTACTTTAAAAACCAGGGAGCGGGACCAGCAGATGGTGTAATGGCTACGTCACTGGACTCCCATGTAGTCGACCACAGTTCAAGTCCCAGACCTGGTGGCTTAAACTCACACCAGGCATGTGTGCATGCATGCCAAAGATCCTGAGAAGAGAATGGAGGAGAAAGGATTGCAGCATGGCCATCCCCCCTGGGGGGTGATTTCTCGCTTTCTGTCTCTCTGTCTCTCTCTGTCTTTCTGCAGACACACACGCCCTATAGCAAAAACCTCTCCCCAAAAAAAGAAAAAAAATGGGGAGAAATGTTGGCTCTTGGAAAAATCTGTCTAGCTTCTGCTCCTTTGTCCTGCTAATATTTTAATAATCTTATTTCATAAAAATGCTTTTATCTGTTATAGTAAACCAGTAGAGGAAACTTTGTAAAGGGCTAGCTCAGGCCTTAGACCCCACTCAATCTCCCAGAGAAGAGCAGTTAATGAGGGATGACCTTGGCTCCAGCTGGTGAAGTGACATAATGCCACACCCAAGGGGTTCCTGCT